AAATAAATAAATAAATAAAAATAAATAAATAGAAACATATAAATAACAGGAATAAATATTGGATTCAAAACCAGCTTAAAATTTTTTTCGCTTCCAAAAATTTCATCTAATTAATGATGAATCATAAAATAATTAAATAAAGTGGTACACTTACTTCATTTTCAATTTACATAATCACATTTCTTTGAAAATATGAAGGCATAACATTAAAAAAAAAATAAAAAATTGGACATATTTTACGTAGATACATGTGCGTATACACAAAACATAGTGCAGAGTAAAAATATTCATTCGATTCTTGAAAATTTGATTTTTAAAATATCAACAAAAAAAAAAAAGAAAAATTACATTTACTGATACAATAAAAAAAGAAAAAATGATGAAAGGATTAAGAATAAGAGGTTTATAATAATTGTGATAGATGGCAGCACTATTTTCTATCACATTTATTTAGTTTAATTTTTTTTACTTAATTTAAATTTTTTCTCACTCGGATATCTAATCTATCTTATAAATTCCTTTCACTAAGCAATTATTTGGTTCAGGTAGAGTACAGAAAAAAAAATTAACTTCCAACTTACACATTAAGAGAAGATAATAATTAATAAGGAATGAATAAATAAGTAAACAAAAGGAAATATGTAAACAAGAAAATACCTTGAGAAGAAAGAACTTCCAGAAACGTAAAATAAAGGCTTCTAAAGTTTACTTAGAAAAACATTTTTAAATCCTAAAAATTTCTATAAATTTACACTATTTCAAAAAATAACTTTAGAATTCTAAAATTCGGTGTAAACAAACTTATGAATCGAAAGCTTATGAGTCGAAAATTTTTATTTTTTAGACATTTTTAAAAATGTATTATTATTATTATTATTTATTTTGAATGACGTAAATAAGATATTTATATTTAATTTGATTCGCTTTTAATCATTTAAAAAATAGAGCCTGCAGATTTTTTTTAAATGTATTTCTTTAATACTAAATAAGTATTACAATGATTTATTTCCGTAAGTGTAATAAATAATAGAAATATATTTATTTTCCAATTGCATTACCTTTCATAAAATTAATTACATTATTTTGATATAAATCATTTTAATTATTTTCTTTCAGTTTAGTTATTTTCAATGAAATTAATATAAACTAAATAACAACTAAAAGAATAGATAAGAATCCTCATCACTGTTTTTTTGAATAAAAAAATTATAAATCGACTATTTATTAAATGGTTTTATTGTGCTTAATTTATCTTATATTTCTGTCCCATATCTTGCTCAACTAATTATTAAGTTGACTTCATTTATTGTTTAGAAGTGTATTGTTTAGAATATTCTTAAATCGTATAGAATTAATTTTACATTTTACGTAAGTTTTCTAATAAAGCTAAACCTTAGCTTTGTGCGTCGCTGCAGCGATGGCTTTGCCAAATGGCCATTCTTTAGTTATTCATCACCATCCATCTCACCATGGCTATGGGCATGGACATGGTGGTCACGGAGTCAGCACAAGACATGATGTCAGACACCATGGTTACGCTCACCCTCATGGACTTAAATATGGCCACGGCATCGGTTATGGACATGGACACCACGGATACGGATTGGATCATGGTTTGGGTCATGCTCATGGATATGGACTATCACATGGATATGGACATGATTTAGGATTAGCTCATGGATACGGCCTAGGTCATGGATTAGGTTTGGGTCACGGACATGGATATGGATATCATTAAAGGATTTGTGGTATGGCAATGGGTAGTGGTGCTCGGAATATTNTAAATAAGATATTTATATTTAATTTGATTCGTTTTTAATCATTTAAAAAAAAGAGCCTGCAGATTTTTTTAAATGTATTTCTTTAATACTAAATCAATATTACAATGATTTATTTCCGTAAATATAATAAATAATAGAAATATATTTATTTTCCAATTGCATTATCTTTTATAAAATTAATTACATTATTTTGATATAAGTCATTTTAATTATTTTCTTTCAGTTTAGTTATTTTCAATGAAATTAATATAAACTATAAGAATAAATAAGAATCCTCATCACTGTTTTTTTGAATAAAAAAATTATAAATCGACTATTTATTAAATGGTTTTATTGTGCTTAATTTATTTTATGTTTATGTCCAATACCTTACTCAACTAATTATTAAGTTGACTTCATTTATTGTTTAGAAGTGTGAAATATTCTTAAATCGTATAGAATTAATTTTACATTTTACGTAAGTTTTCTAATAAAGCTAAACTTTTGCAATTTTTAAGACAGTTGGAGACCAAGGGGAGAAAAGAGTTTTTGTCCACGAAAGCTGATTCTGAGAAAAATCGGATTTAAAAGTCGGATTTGTTAAGCAACTAATATCCAGTGAAATCGTAAAAATAAAAATATACGTGAATACCACAAGCAGTTATTTACATTTAACAAAAATTTTACAGTGAGCAGCGTCATCTATTGACGAACCTCGAAACTAATTTAAAGCCTTTTGAAGCTAGCTTTGAAGCAGAAAGCAGCGAACTCTACATCTCTCCCTCCTTCCCTTTTTCTTTAATTCAGTTTTTAATCGTCGAGTTTCTTTTGAATAACTCTCAAAAATTGTTTCTGCAATTTTATGACTAAAATGTTAACATTTTGATAGAATAGAAAATATTTGCAGACGCAATAATTTAAATTTTTCCCCGCTTGGAGGGTAGCTACATCTCTCCCATATACAAACACTTTTTGTGTTTTCATATTTTTAAACAAAAATAATAAAAGCAAATTTAATAATAAATATTGAAAACGTTATTGCTCTGTTTAATTCTGTATGGTGGATAATATTAGTTTGAAACTTCAATTTTGTTATTATATAATCGTAACAAAAAATTTTGATTGAGACCAACTTCTTTAACATCTTTCTTTTTCTACTTGCAGGTAAACAGAAGCAAGATTTTTAACGAAAGAGCCAAACAAACATCATTTTTTTTATTGCTTTCATTGTAAATATAGTAAAGAAAATAAATAAATTATTTTTTGTATGGCATCTTTCTCCTTTTATTTCTTTTTTTCTAAACGAAGTTTTAACGAGTAATAAAATCCAGTTGTTACAATTTGTATCATGGCAAAATAAAGATCATCTTTAGTCCTACAGTTAAAAACTTTGATATTTGTTTCGATTTGTAACTTAGTTGGTAATTTTGCAGTATAAATTTATGCACTTTTTTCGCAAAATGAAAATTATTTTTCAAAGGCTTCGTCATCATATG